CAGTCTTTTAGGGAGTTTATTCTTGCAGGAAGGTAAATCGTTACAGAGTGTCAAGCAGTCTGCAGCAAAATACAAAAGTCAGAAGGTCTGCAGAGGGTCATATTCAAATTTCCACACAAAGAAGAGGAGGGGCTGTGAAAAACAGAAAAGATAAACATACTATATACTGTATAGCATTCTTTTAAACACATCTGCTAGCAAATGGAGAAACGTCATTAGAACATTAACATTACAACAACAAATAGCTCTAGCCCTATTTACGACTCATTTAGGTTAGGACAGTTGCTTCTACCTATTGTGAGAAATAGCTTGGAAAAGAAGAACAGAGGGTGAATTTTAAATAGTCACTCAGCATGATAAAATGTCCCATTACACAGTGTCCAGGAGGCTTTCTGAAATCCCATAATTAACATCCTGTCAGCTTTCAGACTGGTCCTCCAGTTCAGGCAGTCTGTTAAACACATCTTCAGAAAAACGCTTCTTCCTTTCTCGGAATTTTTTTAAATAAATCTGCAAAGATACAAAGAGGAACCACCAAGTTGTTAACATTCATTACAATCTTAACATGCTCAACTTCCTCTTTTGTTTTGCTGATGAAGAGCGTATATCTAAAGTGACCCTCAATGAGAATAACCAAACACAAGACAGTCAGCGAAATGCATCACACTTAAAAATCTGATGATAAAAAACTGTTTTACTTTATTTATAACACAAAAGAATGAGAGATGAAATGCTAGTGTCACACATGAAGTCAACAACTATCAGAGGAGAGATGAAGTCAGAATCAGGAAGTGACTTCCTTACCACAGGAAGTAGATGTTGAGTTATTGTTAAAGAAGCAGCAGGTTAGAGACTCTGACAGTCGAGAGCCAGAGACCGAGAGAGAAGGACGATGTCTGAATGCAGAAGGATCGTGATGTCTTCATTCCTGATGCTGCTGCTCCACTTTCCAGGTGAGGATGCAGAGAACACACTTAAAATAAAACAGCTTTAATATCACTAACGGTACTTTACTACGTACTGTTCCTTTCACTGTACCATGAATCTTTGTTATTTTATTTCATAGACAAGCTTAACTAGTTCCATGTTTTTTCAGTTTCTTGTTGATACATTTAGCCTCTTAGAAGAGTGATTTTTCTTTTTAACTTTTGTGCTCCTTAAGTAAAGACTTTTTTGATTCACGTTCCTAACAAGGTGAGAACATTCCCTGATGAAACATTAAAACAAGAAGTTATAATTAAGGGTTTGATTAGGGCAGTGGTGGCGAAGTCTATATCAGTGGTTCTCAACTGGTCAGGCCTCGGGACCCACTTTTTACTTGGTCAATACATCGCGACCCAACATTTTGAAGCACTCAAATCTATTCAACAAAATATCGTGCTGTAATATATACGCTTTTCAGCATACAATATTAATAAAAGTGAAGTACAGTGCATATATCCCTTATATCCCTTCACAGAACTAAAGTATGCTTTAAAAAAGGTTTAATGAGTTGATGGAATTAAAGCTGAACTACATAAAAAAAAAACCCAACCCCAGCAGGGGGGTCTGGGGGGATTCTCCCCCAGGAGATTTTTAGAAATACTAACATAAACTATGCATTCTGGTACACTGAGAAGAAAATAAATAAATCTATTACTACCCGACATATTAATAATATGTTATGCCATTGTTTGTTTTTCACTTTGTTCTGACAGCTTGCTGCGAGAAGAGTAAAGAGGAGAGAGTCTGTGTGACTTACTTTAAATTGTGGGTAAGGGTAGATAGCCCCCATTGTTCTGTGACCTGTCAGTCATCAGACCGGGGGTCATATTTCATTATGTGTTAATTTTTATCTGAAGTTGTAACCATGGATGTATAAAGAAGAGTTCTACCGCAAAGTTATTCTCCGTGGGGACTTCCGGCAACAATCTTGATTCTGATTGGCCAGAAGACTCGAAAAAACATCAGCAAAGATATTTTATTGAGAAGATGATCACTATGTGACAGAAGTTTTCAAAACCGTTTATGGTCTCCGTTACTTCCAGTCCAACGCCGACTGCATGCACAGCGTTAGAAAATCGGGCCTTCAAAATAAAAGTTTGACTTTTTCCCCAAAAAAAACAAAACATTTCCAATTTTTTTTTTTTCACTCACACATCCTCGACCCACTTGAAACGGGTCCGCGACCCACTTTTGGGTCGCGACCCACCAGTTGAGAACCACTGGTCTATAGGGACTTGACTTGAGAACCGGAAGGCATCGGTTCAAGTCCCAAAAAAACAGCCCACTGCTCCTAACACTAGGATGGGCCAAAGCAGAATGCACATGTCCCCTCTGTGAGACGATTATGGGTATATTAAATACGAAACTTGAGACTCTTGGATTGTAGAAACTAAAGTCGACTTTATCTTTTTTCTTCTCAGAGAAGAAGAAACAGAGTGTTGAAATCAACGTGAGTTTTTACAACTAAATACTGAACTGTTTTTACACTCTCTTCATTATAAACTGTAAACATAGAAGAAGACAGAAATAAACAGCACAAGAGAAGTGGATGCAACTATTAGATAAACATGGACATATAATGCGGTTCATTACAGACACAAAGTGCAGCCTCCAAAGAGACCATAGATCTGAATCAACACATCTTTGAACCTGTCAGTAACAACTGAACATGATGAGTTCAGATTAAAGGACTGATTCCCCTGAATTACATCATAATGTACTGGATTTCTCACTTTACCTATAGTGGCTGCATGTCATGTTTGTCATATTTGCAAATATGACTTGTGGGGTTCCTAAAGGCTCCATCCTGGGGCCTCTTCTCTTTAACTGCTGCACTATTTCTTAATGCTCCTGCTGTTTTTCATTTTTCTAAAGCACTTTGAAAGGCCTTGTGTTGAAATGTGGTGTATAAATGAACTCGCCTTGCCTTGCTTTGCCTGAGCAATGCTGATAGTTTTGAAATAACATCTATGTTACTTTGAATAATGTGCAAAATGAAATCTAGTTTCAAAGCAAACTGTCCAGAAGTCAGTCAGCTTAAATCCGATCAGACGGTAACTGATGGTTCTTTCAGGGTCTGCTGACTCAACTGTACACCGTATTTTTTTATTTATTATTGTGTGTGCTTAAAACAAGTCGGACTGGGTTTTGTTTTCCACAGGTGCATTATGATGTAGATGACAATACAGTGAACTATGAACACATCAGACCTCCTGATGGAGATCCATCATCAGGTTTCACATCAGGAGTGGAACATTATACACTCATTCTGTATTAAGTAATATTTCATTTTAGTCTTGATTCATTAAACCACTGGATGTCACTGTAAAGAGCTTTTAACTCTTGTTTCCTTCCGTATATTATCTTCCAGCTGAAAGTCTCAGAGCTGATTTTAAGATGTACTGATTGTTTTTGAAGCTACAACAGCTTTAGCTCATTTTAATATCTCTGTGTGCAGAATTATCATTTTAATCCACTTTCATTTAGCTTAGCTGTTAAAACATGTTTTGATGTCCATGTGATTTCATGGGTTTTGAGCCTTAATGTAAATACGTTTTCTCTTTGTTATTCCTGATGCAACAATACAACCTGCAAATAAATAAATGTTAATCTTAATTCTACACTGTGTCCTGTGGTTCCTACTAACAGTGTCTTTATCATAATCTTGCTCTTTGTATTTCCTGTTTTATTTTGTAAAAACACTGTCCTTGTGTCATCTCTGATGTCACTTCCTGTCTTTGTGTTTTCCCGCCTTTTTGACATTGTTGGATATTTAATCTACAGCAATGCATCATATTATATAACATCTTCATGTTTGTAGCTTTGTCCTGTGACAACCATGTACTGTATCTCTAAACAGTCAAGTTTTCATGAGTTTAAAACAACTATAGTAGTAGTATTCGTTTATTTGTCCCCGAGGGGAAAATGGGTTGCAGCACATCACAAGGCATTTAAAAAGATAAAACATACGTCACTGACAACAACATAGAAATCGGTTAGAAAGAACAGACATACAAAAAAACAGATATTGGAAGACATGACAAGGGGCCTAGGCCCTCATTTGCAAGAGGGGGGGGGGGGGGGGGACAGTGCCAGACCAGCTGGGTAAACAGTGCGTCCTAGCCATCATAGATTAAGGATATATATATATATATATATCACCAATAATGAAATACGTGGTTTTCACTGGACAGGACGGAGATGTGATTTCTAATCTGGAAGTGAATTACAAGTACCTTTTAATGTTATCATTTACAAAATATTCTTGGCATCATCCCTCCTAAAAAAAAAACTATATAGATGCTTCAAATATGCGTATATGTTTATGTTTTTTGTATGAAAGTTATTAACGTATACCCACAGGAAGTCAAATGCGTGTCACGGTCAGTCTGTGTTGTGTTTTGTCTGTCTCTGGCTTCCTGTTTTATTTTGAAAGGTTTTCACCCCCTGTCTTGCCTGTTGATTCCTGTCTCTGTGGCCGTTTCTCAATCGCGAGGATGCTTGCTTGGTAGCACATGTCTTCCGAGTCACTTGCTTCAGAAGCGAGGCAAGAATACTTCCTGGCATTCGGAAAACGAAGAGTGGAACAGGCTAGCAAGTGTGCAGGTGAGAGGCCCCGCCTTACATTTTCCGCCACAGATTTGGGGAAATTGGTCCATGCGCAAAGCATTGTGGGGATTTTAAGGACGCAAAGTCTACCCATGTGCAGCCTCGAAATTACCCCCAAACCAAGGACGCTGCCTCGGTAGAATTCCAAGTATGCTGGAGATTGGAACAGTCCTTCGGCGGCACTCGATGACGTAGCATTCTTGAAATATTGGCTTGGAAGCCAGTATCCTCGAGATTGAGAAACGGCCTGTGTTTGCCCTCCTGTGTCTGATTTCCTGATTGTGTTCACCTGGTGCCCCTGTGTTTTTTCCTCCCTCCTCACCTGTGTCTTGTTTGTGTGATTAGTCTTGTGTGCATTTCAGTTCTGGTTTTTCTGTTATTGTGGGATCCTTGTTGTTTGTCTTGACTGTGTTCACTGGGAAGAGTTCTGTTGTTCATTAGCCTTGAAATAAAGGTATTTTCTGTTTAAATCTGCATTTGGGTCCTGCCTGCTTCACTCAACCCTGACAATGCGCTCATCTTGACTGAATCACTGTGGAGAGTCGATATAACAAGAAATGTATGAGAGAAAAGAAGACGGAGCTTCTTTGAGGAAGCGACACATTTCTAATATTAGGAAGAACTTCCAACATTTCTCTTTAAGAGGCAGCCGGTCTAGAGACTTACACGGATACAAGAGACACGATGGCCGAGTTAAAACGGATTAAAATGTCTTCACTTCTTATTCTGCTGCTTCAGTTTACAGGTAAGGATTCCTACAACATGTATATATTTAGAAACAACAAGGTAATTTATTCATCATGAATGTTACTTTATTACCTAACCTCCTTTAAACAAAGACAGAGAAGTGGTCTGTTTGTCTTCCAACGAGGGGAAGGCAACTTTTAGACACATAGGGAAACTTTTGTTATATCTCAAATGAACATTTTTATTTCTCTGTATTCTTTATATTTCTCTCTTGTTTATTCAGGGGCTGCAATTGGACAGCGATCCCTCTACCTCTCTGTCAGAGCTGGAGATGAAGCCACTTTGCCGTGTAACAATGTGTTCCATGATCAGGATGAATGTGATGGTACTACCTGGCTCTTCACTGATTCAGGAAGTACAGTAATGCTGGTTAAAGGTGGGCAGATTGGTGACCATGCTAAATCAGACAGACTGAGAGTTACAGAGAAATGTTCTCTGGTTATAAAGAAGGTCACAGAGGAGGATGCTGGTCACTACACCTGCAGACAGTTCAGATTCGGAGAACAACGAGCTCCAGACTCTTGGGTTGATCTGTCTGTTGTTACCAGTGAGTATTTCCATCATAATGTTTCCAAACTGTCTTGTAAAACATATACTCTGATTACACTAAAACATAACAATAATAATGATTACAGTGATGAAGTTAATGTTACTCTTGATGTCTTTCTCTCTCAATATCTCCATCTTCAGTGACTGAGCATCAGGACAATGATGAGGTGACGTTACGCTGCTCTGTGGGGCCATATAGACGGTGTAGACACCCACCGAAGTGGCTGCTTCAGGGTCAAGATGTGGATAAAGATCACAACGATATAAAAACATCACAGTCCTCCTGCTCTGCCTCTGTGACATTTCCAACTTCTCATTATAGTTACACATCAAGGTCTAAGCGTTTTACTTGTGTAGTAACAGCTGGTTCCAACGTGCAGACCTTCAGCCTTCAGTCCTCAGGTGGGAACCAGCTGTTTAAACGTCTTTAACTCATGTTTACGTATTCAATGATTTGAAGTTTTATTATTACATCACAATATATTTTACCCATAAGACAGCTTGCTAGTGAAAGGTTTGTTGAGATTGTTCATCTGTTCAGGTGAGGACACGGCAGCAGCAGAGAGCGACACCAGATCAGCTTTCACTACGACAGCTTCTGTGATCACTGAAGATTCAGCAAAACTACAAGGTAGAGGTTTATATATGAATATTGCTTCCCTCAAAATCTTTCTCTTAAATCAAAGACTATTAATTGGTTTGTTTTAAACTGTTTTTTTGTTTTAAATGATATACGTTTTGTTAAGAAATAACATCACATCTTTGCACTGATTGGCATGCAACATGATTAGTAGTAGTAGTAGAACCTTTATTTATCCAGGAAAATCAATTAAGAACAAATTCTTATTTACAATGATGACCTGACAGGAGGCAAAGGTTTCCTGAGGGGATGGGGTGTGGGAGGAAAACAAATAAAAAGACAGACTCCGGGCTCTACAGAACCCAGGAGACAACACAAACACATAGAGCAAAGATGACAGGCGTAGCAGTAAAACATATAAAAACTCAAAAACAATATTGCTGTGGTTCAATCAGTCATTAAAATCAGCATCAGGCAAAGCAGCTACAGTACATGTGTGTACCAGGGTGTCAATAGTAGTGACATTGAAGGTGCGGGGGGAGACGAAGGTTTTCATTTGATTGAATATAGATACATTTAAAAACATCTCCGTTTCTTTTTTTAAATTAAATTAAATGTACAAAATATATCTTTAAAACAATAATATTCTCTCTCCAGGTCTCTTGAGGCTCGTCCTCGTGTCTGTGGGTTTAGCCGCTCTCATAATGATTGTCGTGGCGGTCAACATATGGACGAGAACTAAAGGTGAGAACATTCACAGATTAAACTTAAACGCTTTTTTGAATTGTGGAAAGTAAAGTCGACTTTCTCTTCTTTCTTCTCAGAGAAGCAAACACAGATGGATGAAATCAATGTGAGTTTTTACATCAAATACTGAACTGTTTTGACTCTCTCTTCGTTATGAACTGATAAACACAGACACAAAGTGCAGAGAGACCTAGATCTGAATCAACACCTCTTTGAACCTGTCAGTAACAACTGAACATGATGAGTTCAGACTAAAGGACTGATTCCCCTGAATTACATCACAGAGGATTTCCCCACCTTCACACTAGTGGCTTTTAGCAATGCTAATAGTTCTGTTGTTTTAGAAAACAATGTGTTTGTTACTGTGAATAATGTGCAGGATCAAATCTAGTTTCAAAGCAAACTGTGCAGAAGTCAGAAGATTAAATCAGATCAGACGGGAACTGATGGTGCGTTCAGGGTCTGCTGACTCAACTGTGAACTGTGTTTTACTTTGAAATCCTTTGAAACCAACTCGTTGTTGTTGTTGTTTTCCTCAGGTGCGTTATGATGTAGATGATGGTACAGTGAACTATGAAAACATCAGACCTCCTGATGGAGTTTGAGCAACACTTCTGCCTCCATCAGACTCCACTGATCAACAACGTCTACATCTATCATCAGGAGTGGAAGATTATACACTCATTCTGAATGACATATTATTTCATTTTAGTCTTGATCTAATAAACCACTGGATGTCACTGTAAACAGCTTTTAACTCTTGTTTCCTTCCTTATATTGTCTTCAGGTTCAGAGCTGATTTCAAGATGTACTGATTGTTTTTGAACGACAGCTTGAGCTCATTTTAACATCTCTGTGTTCAGAATTATTACTTTAATCCACTTTCATTGAGCTTTGCTTTGTGTTTTGATGTTCATGTGATTGAATGGATTTTCAGCCTTAATGTAGAAAGTACGTTTTCTCTGTAATATCTGTTGACATCAGAATCTGCAAATAAAAAGAAAATCCAACAATTGTTTTTGACTATTTTTGGAAATAGTCAAAAGGCACTTTGGGAAGTTGACATCACACGTATGAGAGGAAGTAGACGCATCACTTCTCAGCTAACAAACTATTTTGGAAACCTTTCATCAGAACAAGAGATAGAGGAAGCAGAGAGACGGAGAATCAAGATGGACGAGTTCAAACTGATTAAAATATCTTTATTACTCATTCTGCTGCTTCAGTTTACAGGTAAGAGATGCAGCACTCACAATAATCACTGTGGCTTCAGCAGACTGAAGAGGACTCAAGGTGAGGACACGTTTTTGTTTTGATGAAGCTGGATTTTATTGTGGAAAATTACATTGAGGCTCTTTTGTCTCTTAGTAATGGGTTTTTTAAGGTGGAGATTAGAATTTACATTTACTATATTCCATCTGAATTTACTCTGACACAGCAACATCTATATTGTATTCTGACACTTCTACAGCCAACTCAAAGATGTATCCTTGCTTTGATAAAGACAATTATTAATATGCCCCTTTTACAAGTGAAGATAGTCATTCATTCTGGGCATGTCATTTTCGAGCCTGAGGCCTGAAAAACAGGCTCTTTAAAGTAGAGACACTAAATACTGATATAAACCTGAAGATGAGCCGAATACGGCCCCTTTAAGTTGTTAAATGGCAGCAAAAGCAAGACTTTCAGAACACCTTTATGCATATTCAGTTTTCTTTCCCTCCAGGCTCACCTTCATGATGAAGATGAAGCACTTTGAGAGCTCCCTCCTCTTCCTCTGCTGCCTCCGCTGATCCCAGCCTCCTCTACGCCACCGTCAACAAACCAAACAAATAATACAGTTTAATGCTGTATTTTAAACTATGGCACAATTGTTAAAACCATATTACAAAGTCAAAGTTATAATAAGATTTATATTGACCAGGTTTTTGCTATTTTTGGATTAATAGCATCAAAGTGAGAGTCCAGCTAAACATGCTAGTCCCTCTAGAGGAGGATTGTGGAAGAAAGGGACAGACATGTTGGAGATTTACTGTATTCCTAATACTTAGAGTGTGGGCACAATGAAGGTTTTGTAAAGTCAATTCTGGCTTTGTTATTACTGTTTTTTCTTTAATATAATTCAATGGAATATTGCTTTTTCTTCAGTACATTTGATTGTGTTGTGTTTTAAATAAAGTGATCTATTAGCCTTTCAAGAGTGCGGATGTATTTACTTGTATGGTTTTTCCTAATATGACATTCTCTAAACATCAGGTGTGTTCTTAAAGTACACAGTTTCACTCCACTGATCAGCAACACTGCCTTTTGTTATCGCTGCAAATTCATTTATATATGAACCCTTGTGTGATGTTCGGGTCTGTGCGACCCGTTTTCATTATTTATCTAAAGAAAAATGATATGATAAATTATTTTTCCAAACTCACACTCAATGGCCTTGGCTCATTTTCTGTGAAGAACATATATCAGAACACATTTTCAATGAGCACCCCCTGTACACCCCGCCTACACATTTACCACTGGACCCGGGACTAACAAAGGTGTGAGAATTGTAGGTCCTGTGCACCTGTCTCGGCCTCCTGTGTGTGTGTGTGTGTGTGTGTGTGTGTGTGTGTGTGTGTGTGTGTGTGTGTGTGTGTGTGTATATGTGTGTGTGTTTTGGAACATCACACAAGGGTTAAGGTATATTGATATCCACCGCTTGCTGTTTATTTGTAATTGTATATATATATATATATATATATATATATATATATATATATATATTGACATGACTTTATGTACATCACTCTGCATTGTTCTGCTTTTTGCTCTTACCTTATTTGGTCAGCATCAGAGGGTAAAACCTCCAAAGCTCTGCTGCTGCTGTTTCTCACAGAATCACTTCTCCTTCAGTTCTCAGAAGAGAAACACTACATACTGATATACACCTGAACATCAGCAGGAGAGGACTCTTTAAAGTAGATACACTTCATACTGATATACACCTGAACATCAGCAGGAGAGGACTCTTTAAAGTAGAGACACTACATACTGATATACAGCTGAACATCAGCAGGAGAGGACTCTTTAAAGTAGAGACACTACATACTGATATACACCTGAACATCAGCAGGAGAGGACTCTTTAAAGTAGAGACACTACATACTGATATACACCTGAACATCAGCAGGAGAGGACTCTTTAAAGTAGAGACACTACATACTGATATACACCTGAACATCAGCAGGAGAGGACTCTTTAAAGTAGAGACACTACATACTGATATACACCTGAACATCAGCAGGAGAGGACTCTTTAAAGTAGAGACACTACATACTGATATACACCTGAACATCAGCAGGAGAGGACTCTTTAAAGTAGAGACACTACATACTGATATACACCTGAACATCAGCAGGAGAGTGTAAAGGAATATTTTAGTCTTGTTAAAGTATATAGAGTTTAGTGAACTGTCCTCGGGAATCTGTTTAATATGGTTGAAGTGTATTCCTGCCTGTAATGTGATCCATAGCTTCTCAGGAAGACACAGGTCAAGAGGTCATCTGATGTCTTGTGGGGGAGAAGCTTGGCTCATGTGGGTTTACAATGCAACGAGTCTTTGTCTCGACATCTGGCATGCATTAAAGGAAAACCCGCGTGTTTTAGGGCCCTCCTCTTCTTGTCTGTATAGATGGGTTCTTGGCGCTTTTAGGCTTCAGAGTTGGCTGGTATCTTGCAGGGAACTGTAATATGCTGTGAACTCTCCGGCCGCTCAGGCTCTCAATAAATATCAGTGTATTGACAGGCGAATCCAGTTTCACTCATGTCATGATTGGCTCAACATTGCTGCAAAGAAGTTTTAACTTCACAATTGGCATCACGAACGGTTACCAACAAATCGTCGAGCTGGTGAGTGTAATTTCAAATCTATATTTTGACATTGCCTCGCCAGACTCTGTGATTGACGGTATAAAAATCACCTGTGGAACAGATAGATGCAATATTTTTGGTTTCCTCTGTGTGTGTGCACGGCAAATATTCGGAGAGACCTTAAAGAGGGCATCAGTAATGTGGAACTTCGGTTTAAAAGCAATGTAAAGATTTGTACTGAAACGAATCGCCGAATTCTGGAGATTTCAACGGTTTAACTAGTTCAATCAACTCGCCTCAAAATGTTCCTGTTGCTGCTGCAGGGTGCAGGGTGTGGGTAATTCCCCTCCCCCCTGTGGGGAGCAGCACACGAGGAGAAACAAAGCACAGTGTCGTATTCTACTTAAATCGCACCATTATGAGTTTTGGAAATAAACATAACTCTTATTAGGATGTTACTAAATATTACGTCACGCTGTGTTTCATAAACTGAGGGGTTGTTGAATTTGGCTGTTGTTAAAATAAAGGGTACTGAATTCATTAAAAGTCTCTGCTCTCCGGATCGGGGAGGGCAGAGCACCACTAAATTAGCATAGTGGTTGTTGATTGAGAATAATGTGGTTATTACTCTTCAGCAGATTCCGTTCTTAGAATTAATTAAATTAATTAATATCTCTGCTCTCGGTCGGTTGAGCAGTTTTACCACTACATTTGCATAGTGGTTTTGATTGAGAATAAGGTAGTTTATTGCTCATCAACAGAATTCCCCTCCCCCCTGTGGTGAACGGCACACGAGGAATGTTTAACAACACAGACTTGTATTTTCTGTTAATCACACCATAAGCTCAAGAACTAAATTGAGCTATTGAATGGGAAGGGTGGTGGCAGAATATTACATTCACACTGTGTTTAATACATTTACGGATTATTGAATTGGATGTTGTTTTAAAAAAAAATAATAATAAATAAATAAATAAATAAAAATAAGTACTGATATTTCCCTACCCCCGCTGAAGTTTCCCTAATTCGGATTAAAATTAAACTGGATGAGTTTAGCTGTCACCTGATATTTGTTGCGGGTTCATGTTTGTTTGTATAATTGTTTCGTGTTTGTTTGTATACCTGCCGTCTTGTGCATGTTTTGTAACAACTAATAAATGAATCAGTCCACAGCCAAGGTAAAATGAATCTAAATTACCGCAAAAGGAAAATAAATAGCAAAAAAAGCCTCTGTTTTACACCCGGGAACCTCAGAGGCATAACTGCGGGTCATCTGTCTGCTCAAATAGGTCAATGTTGTATTATTTGTTTCATTTATTCTTAATCTATGTATTGAATAGGTAATAATGAAAATAAAACAAAAACCTAATGTATTGAACACATTCCGAAACAAAGCAGATAAGACAAGACTCAGACACAATGGTGATGAAACCTTTTTGCACGATTGATGCAAAATGAAAACTTTGTCATTATCTGTTTCCAACTGGCCACTGGAATCAGATAATGGATATAAGTTGAAGTTCAATTACAGTTTTGGATATAGTTCAACATTCTTTATCATCTCCACCCACAGATCCAGATGCCTTCTTTCGTGGTGTAGCGTACGCAGTTTCTCTAGAAATGGGCACAGAGCTCTGTTCATTCCATAAGACCTCCGCTGGACTAAGGATCTCAAGAACAATAATTAGCTCTATCTGGATCTGCCATGTAGTCTTTTCCCCTACTTATTATTTAATTTATCATTATTCTTTTTAATAACGACCTACTTACTTTTTAATAATAATTGTACTATCAGCTCAACACTGTTCCATACAGCTATTTGCTTATAATTGTCTATAACTATTACTCATGCCTAAAATGGGTTCGCTTTCTTGGATTTATGACGTTTATTGGAT